GTGGGGCGATAAATACCTAATTCCTCTGGGCCCTCATTTGTTCAGAGTTTATTTTTTCTTTTTCTTTGTTTTCTTTTTTGGTTTTTCGAGACAGGGTTTCTCTGTAGCTTTGGAGCCTGTTGTGGAACTAGCTCTTGCAAACCAGGCTGGCCTCGAACTCACAGAGATCCACCTGCCTCTGCCTCCCTAGTGCTGGGTTTAAAGGTGTGCACCACCACCGTCTGGCTCCAGGGGTTTTTTGTTTTGTTTTGTTTTGTTTTGTTTTTTTTTACCAAATGCGCAGTCAGAAGGTCTGGATCAACGCCAAAGTACCTGTGCGTGAGTGGTCCATGGCCAGGGAACTATGGTCACATTTGTCCTCTGGAGGGATCACTGTCCTGTGATGACTGGGAAGGTGGAGCTGGAGGGAGGGAGGGAGGGAGGGAGGGAGGGAGGGAGGGAGGGAGGGAGGGAGGGAGGGAGGTAGGGGCCAGAAGAGACAAAAGACAAAAGAGCAAACGCAGTCATTTTGTACATCAAGTATTGCTGCTCTTGGCCTGCTGGGGCCCTCTCCACAGGTCGTGCTCCAGGTTCTCATTGTGGGTGGTGTTACACAGGTTCGGAGTTTCAAGGGTAGAAGCGAACACGAGCCACAGACAGGACACTGAATGTGGACCTGCTTCAGAGCAGTGCCAGAGGGGGTAAGAGACAGCAATTTCTAGAGAAAGGCTTGTCTACAAGGAAGAAGGGTGGGCCGTGCCACTGAGAGGGCCCCAGGAGCACATGCGGGGGATGGTCTCTCAGGATCTCGCTAAGCCATTTTGGCTAGCAGATGGCAGGGGCCGGTTGTGGTGGGAAGAGTAGGCAGGCTTTCCTCTGAAGCAGGGGGTAGCCTTATCACCCACGCGGCTAAGTATCATTTGTGTCAGCTGAGCTTCATGGAATAATATGGGTACCTGGGGAAGGAGAGGGGCTCAGCAGAGAAAAGACCCTCTGTCCCCTGGGCAGGGCACCCAGAAGTGCCGCCTCTCACACCTGTCCCAAGTGACTTCCCCTGTGGAATGTTCTAGGTTTTTTTTTTTTTTTTCCTGTCAGAAAAATGTTTTAGTCTCCAGAAACAAAAAGTTGTAACTGATTAGCATATCTACTGCAGGGTGAGCTGTTGTTGTTTTTCCTACCAGGACAGGGTTTCTCTGTGGAGCCCTCGTGTCCTGGACCTCACTCTGTAGACCACATTGGTCTTGAAATCAGGGATCTGCCTCTGCCTCCCAAGTGCTAGGACTAAAAGTGCTCACGGCCACCACCTGGTGGTCTACATTTTATTTTAAAAAGGGAATAAAATGAATTAAAGTTTGCAAAGAGACGCTAGAGCAAACAAACAAATGTTTTTTTTTTCTTTTTTAAATATTTATTTATTATGTATATAATATTCTGTCTGTGTGTATGCCTGCAGGCCAGAAGAGGGCACCAGACCCCATTACAAATGGTTGTGAGCCACCATGTGTTTGCTGGGAATTGAACTCAGGACCTTTGGAGGAGCCGGCAATGCTCTTAACCTCTGAGCCATCTCTCCAGCCCGCAAATATGTTTCACATTAAATATCACTCATTATCATAGGGAAAGAGCCCAAGAAAAGTAGGCGTGCAGATCTTGGGCGGTGTGGCTCAGTAAGAACTCTCTTATAGAGTGCGCCAAGCCCCAGGTTCCCCCCAACACTAACGAAAAAAGAGTGCCAATGTCTGGGGGTCTTACTGTTCTGGGATCTGAGCAGGCTGACTACCTCCTTGTGTCATATCCTCACTTATAAGTAACTATACCTCAAATATCTCATTAGCATGAAATAGAATGATACCATGTGAGGATATCAATAGTGAACACGATACCATGTGAGGGTATCAATAGTGAACATGATACCATGTGAGGATATCAATAGTGAACACGATACCATGTGAGGGTATCAATATTGAACACGACAGCATGTGAGGGTATCAATAGTGAACACGATACCATGTGAGGGTATCAATAGTGAACACCCCACGATCAGCGGCCCTGTCATTGACCAGGAGAAACACTGAGCTGGTCTGGCCTCTGATACTGCAGGAGGTAGAGCATCTTGGGTGTTTTTCAGAGTTAGCTCATCAGTATCTTGACTTTATGGTTGTCAGTGCCAAGAACACCATTTCACATAAGTACAGAGTGAAAAATGGCAGAAGTATGTGTAGGCTCATTTCAACACTTATTGGAAATTTTGTCATAATTTCAAGGTAAAATTGGTATAATGATTTTTCTTTTTTTTTTTTTTTAGTGAAAGTCAAGTCAGCCACTCAAACAGCTGTTGGGGGGTTGTTTGTTTGTCGGGGGTTGAGACAGTGTTTCTCTGTGTAGCATTGTTTTTTTACAATCTGGCTTTCTAAAGTTTACTAACAGTCCAGTGGCCTTGAACTCACAGAGATCCGCCCGCCTCTGCCTCCCAGTGCAGAGGTTAAAGGTGTGCATCCCTCTGCCTGGCAGGAAAACATTTTAGATCCTGTTTTCCTTGATTAGAGCACTGTGCTGCTGTGAAGTCTGCAGAGGCTCTACAGACACCAAAGACACGTACAGGGTACAGGGTGCTCGTGCTATGAAGCCAGACCCCACCCCCCACCCCGCTGTGGTGAAGTCCTGCCTTGCAGCTGACGGGGTTGAGAAATGCTTTGTTGCTGCCATTTTTGTGCCCTTCACAATCAAGTTAGGTGACCCTCTGTGGGCGGGGCTGTATGCCCACTAAAATATCGGCCTTGACACATCATCTATGGGACACTTCTGTCGCCCCAGGTATCCTTCAGGTTCCCTTTTGTAGCAATGCCACCTGCTTCCCCTCACCTTAGCACTGCAAGTCTGTTCCCCATTTCTCTGGACTCCATGGGTGTTACAGCAAAGGACTCAGCATGAAACCTTCCCTGACCGTAATTCACTCCCAATACAGTATATCTTCTGTCTACAATAGTTCATTTGTTCTGTTTTGTTTTTGTTCTGGAAACAGTCTCACTGTAGCCCAGGCTGGCCTCAAACTCGCAGTTCTCCCACCTCAGCCTTTGGAGAGCTGGGATTGGTGTGTTTGCCACCAAGGTCACGGTGGCTCATCCCTTGCAGTGACTAAGTGGTTCATCCCACAGCCTGACCATTCAACAACTAAAGGAGAGCTGGGCAGTTTCTGGTCACAGCCACTACAGATGTTAATGTACAGTTTTGTGCAAAAGCACATTCGTTTATTGGAATAAATGTATCAGTAGCCATTGGGTTGTATGTAGTCTCCAGGCTATCTGTACCATCTCATGGTCCCACCCCCACCCCCCACCCCCATGAGTGTGTGCTGACCCTGGTTCCCTGGGGCTGGAATCCTGAACATGTCTGTCCACTGACCATCTGTCTTTCCCTTCAAGTATGTCTCACTTCTGGTTTATCCGTACTGTTGACTTTCTGAGTGTCTGTACTAGTACAGACACTCTGAGGACTTGTGGGTTTCAGGCGTTTCCTCCCGTTCCTCACTGCCTGTCCATCCTCTTAGCTGAACTGTTCCAGAACCAGCGCTTGTAATTTTACTTCCCAGTCCAGCTTTACCAGTTTCTCCTTTTGTTGATCCCTAAGGGTTTTTTTTTTTTTTTTATTCTAAATTTCCTGTAGTTGTGTGCTTCATACTGAAGCCCGCGGTGCATTTTCGGTGTGTGTGAGAGTGTGGAACTCGCCTTTGGCGTCCAGCTCTCCGTGCTGCGGTTCTGCTGCCCTGGGACATCCAGTTCCAGGCTCTGCTGAAGTAATGTCCATCTCTTCTCATCTGATCCCAGGCTCCAGTGCCGTGCACTCTCAAATCTGGGGCGAGTCGAGGGACCAATTTCCTACCTTTTCTTTCTTTCCGAAAAACCTAGTCTACTTCTTTTGCCTTCCACACATTTTCAAACAGTCTTGTCTGCCTTCAGAAAGAAATCTTGCCAAGGATTTGGGATTCAGCAATTTGTGTTTTTCCATGTATAACCCCTACATATTTTGTTAGGTTTGCCTGTGGATTTCATTATTTGGATTGTAATGATTCTGTGTGTCATTTCCATGTTCATTCCTAGGATATGGAATTACAATTAGGTAGGGTTGGGGGTTTTGTTTTTTGATACATTTTACACCTTACCAAATTGTTAGTTATAGAAGCTGTTGTATTAATTCCCTGAATTCTGTGTATTATCGGTTTACTCCTTCTTTACCTGGCTGTAGACCTTCATTCCCATCTTGGTTTGGTTTTCTGCTTCACAGTCTGGGTGCCACAGGAGGGAAAGGGTTCCCTTCTTCGCCTCGTCCTAGTCTCAGAGAAAGCCCTGCTGATCCCTGGGGTGGGCTTTCCTGTTTGCTTATGAAAAAGAGCCATCTAGGGATTTCGTGAACACGGCAGGTTCCTGCAGCTTCTCGCCGTAAACAGAGAGATCGAGGATTTTGTTCACTGACTGAATAATGGAAAGTACAGGATTTGAAGTAGGTGATTCAAATTTAAATTGTAACTCCTTTGCCTTCCCAGTGAAAGGCCTGAGGCAACTTACAAATCTCAAAATCCGTTTCCTCCTCCACAAAAGGGAGGCCCAGCTCCAGTGATAAAGGATTTGCAAGCCGTTGTGGCCCTGGCTGGGTGAAGGAGGAGCCTTGCTGTGACTCTGCCCGGCACTTCCGTGGTGGAATTCTCATTGGGAATCTTCAAAGGACTTTAAAGGACTAGGTAGTCCGCATTTATCTTTCCAGGACTGAGGTACACTACTCGGGTCCTTCCCCAGCTTCCACAAGTCACTCTGAGTTCCCCTAGGTGACGTCATCTGAAAACCCGAGTGCTGGCAGGCCCTATGCCAAGGACTGTTGTGGATTAAATGAGTTGATATTTGTACCCTGTCTACCAGTGCCTGACATGTTAACCTTGTGACATGTTAGCTGTGGACATTTCTGTAACGTTAGGACACATTCTCATTTGTGGAACACCGCTCTTAAAAATGAAATTGTTTACTTTGCAGATTTTTTAAAAAATGGATTTGACCAACCATGGACTTATTCTACTGCAGCAGTTAAACGCTCAGCGCGAGTTTGGGTTCCTGTGTGACTGCACGGTTGCAATCGGCGATGTGTACTTCAAGGCACACAAATCAGTTCTTGCTTCATTCTCCAATTACTTTAAGATGTTGTTTGTCCATCAGACCAGGTAACTAAAGCCGTTGATAATATCTAATGACTGTAGACCTCCTGACTCTGGGTCCCTCTTCCCACTGAGCACACTCTTGGCTTCATCCAGACCATGGGTCTCTCTGCCTCTCCCTAGGGTCTAGGTGCCCGCCCCACTCCTTTGTTAGTCCACCTGTTCCCTGCCTTTCTTGGTTAATCTCTTCATTAGCACGTGAGAATCACCTGCATACCTGGCTCCATGCGGCCCTGCCCCTTCCAAACTGCCTTCAGTGTGGGGATCACCTGTGGTTGGCAGTGACAGCCAGGGCCTCAGTGGCCTCAGTTAGTAAGCCTTCCTGCTCCTCTGAGAGTCCCCTAAATACCCTGCCTGAATACTTAGTTTCAGATGAGAAGCTGGAGGGCGCGAATTCCATTTCCCTCCTCTCTACTGTAAAATCTGTCTTTGCGCTCATGGTTTTGTTTTGTTTTCCTTTGATTTCTCCTAAATGAGATTCTTAGAGAAAAGAATCTCTGGGTGTGTAAAAAAATCATCATCATCATCATCTCCCCCTCCCTCCCTCCCTCCCTCCCTCCCTCCCTTCCTCCCAATTCTCTATTTTATTCTGTTCTCCATTTCTGTTCTCTCCCCCACCCCCGCCCCCTGGTCTGGGCAGAAGACCTTCCTTGACCTTGTGGCTCCTGGAGTGCAGCCCTGTTCTCTGTTCTCCTTGAACCTTCTTAAAAGGCCCCTGCGCCTCTGTCTGCCCACCCCACACTCTTCCTGTGCATTTGTGGTTTCCTGTTCACTGCAGCAGTCATCCCACAGGGCACCTCTCCCCCCAACACTGCCTCCCGTCCCTCCTCCTGTTCTCCCCAGTCCTCACCTGTGACCTAATGTCCTTGTTCTTCACCTCTGTGCTGGACCTTGGGCTCCTGAGCCCCTGCTGTCCTTGCACACTGCCTGTGGTGGGCAGGTCATCTTTTCCGGCTTTGCCCTATCTGAAGTTGCAGCTCCAGCCTCCGTCTGTCTGCAGAACCTGGTCCTCAGTGCCCCGCCCCCAGCTGTCCCTACTCCGTTTTTCTCATTGGACATGGATAAAACTGGATAGGCTCTTCCCCAGAAGAGCCCTAGCTTGTCTACGTTCTTACCTCTAAGAAGCCCAAGCTTCGGATCTATTTCAGATCATATCTCTTCAATACATGTCCCATGTGCTCTGTCCTTCCTTTCTTCCTCCCATCCTGTAAGTATTCATTTCCCACATCACTGTCCGATTAATATTCCTAGAGACTGCTTGGTTGAGGCATGCCTTTGACCAGAACTTAGTAAGAGGACTAACTGAGCAGATCCCTCTGCACAGCAAGGCGCTGGCTGTCTAAGCTCCTGGGAGTGGGACACTCGGGCTTGAAGCCTGACCCTTATCACCTGAGAACTTCTGGGACACCATCTTCTCTTTGTCCTGCCTGCTTTTGTGGCTCATTCACCTGAACCAAACTTTCTGAGTGTCCTGCCCATTCCCTGATGTCCCTAATCCTTGCCTTCTTCCTAGTCAAGTAGACAGAATCTTCAAGGATGACTGTGTTCTGCCTACAGCAGTGTCTCCTCTACATGACTATCTGTTTACTCACCCCTCCCCCACTTGTAAATCACTGTCTACTCACCCGCCCCCACCCCACCCTCTGGTCGTGCGTGGCAGGGCAGTGAGTTTTACAGATCTCCTGGGACACCACAGGGTAAGGCTAGGTGTGTGCTTCTAATAGCCACTTGATAAACATCTGGAGGAGCAGAAGGGCCAGGAGCAGGTGACTTGGCAGTAAGAAAGAACATTTGTCTTCCAGCACTGAGAACGTGTCCTTTAAGCAGGGCGCGTAAGATGCAGTCCTGTAATCTCAGCTCTTAGAGGCTGAGGCCAGAGAGCTGTTGGGTCCTCGGGAGACAGAGAGGTGGGATCTCTGTGAGCCGACCAGCCTGGTCTACAAAGCGAGTTCCAGGGCAGGCTCCAAAGCTACACAGAGAAACCCTGTCTCAGAAAAAAGAAAAAAAAATAAAATAAAAAGTTGTCAGATCTAGACCAGCCAAGACCCTCTCTCAAAACAAATTTGTTTATATATTCACCACCCTTTAGCACCATTATTATGATAAAGATGTTATTTGCAGCCATTAATCTCAACAGTTTGTTAAATGTCTAGCTGGGCGGGGACTCCAGTAAACCTTTAATCCTAGCACTAGGGAGGCAGAGGAAGGCAATCTCTGTGAGTTTGAGGTCAACCTGGTCTACAGAGTGTGATCCAGGACCGCCAAAACTACTCTATCACAGGGATGTGATCTTTGTGCTAGTTTGTGCCATGGCAGCAGCCTGCCTCTCTGCTGCCAGGGCGGTCACACCACCATCACCTGTCACCAAGTGCCTCTCTACCATCAGCTACGCCACATGTGCACCCCTTAAAAGTGCCCGCCAGGCACAGCTTGCTCTCTTGCCTCTTGTTCCTCTCTTGCCTCTCTTCATCTTGCCTCTTCCCTGTTCTGTCTGCCTGCCTCTCTCGTGCCCCCACTCCGACAAGGCCTTCACCCTCTCACTCCCCCCCCTCCCCGCACTAACTCTGTTTCTCATGCCATGTTTGCTCGGTAGCATATGTTGGCAGGGCCCACCGAAAGGTGCCCACTTTCCCTTCCCTTTTTTTTTTTTTTTTTTTTTTGTCACTACGTTTTGTAGCTGAGTACACCCACCTGATGATTCTCCTGGTACATCTCTATGTGGAGAAGTCAAGTTCACAGTCACAAGCAGAGCAGAGACCAGCTCGTCCTGCCTGGCAGAAGCACTTGTTCCCCCTCTAGCCAAACTGAGCCCGACTGGATTTTTTCAGCTTTAGAACAGTCCATGTCCTATAGTTACCACTAGGTGTCTCTGTCTTTTTTCTGTAGACTAAGTGCTCAAAAATACAACCTCATGCTAAGAATAAGCTGCTGAGTGTGGTGGTATGTTCCTTTAATCCAGCACTCTAGAGGCAGTGGCAGGTGGATCTGTGTGAGTTCAGGACCATCCTGGTCTACATATGAGAACCTGTCTCAAAAAAAGAAAAGTTTAAGCATTATTTAAAACTCTTATTCTAAAATTCAAATGAAGGAGAGACTAAACCTGAAATTACTCGGAGCACCTGCGCAGCAGTGTGTGGCCCGCACCCCCACTCCTTGGCCCATCTCCATAGAAGTGAGATAGAAGTGCAGACAGGTGTCGGTGCAGCAAGGCTTAGGTGGAATTGCCTGTGCGGGCTGTAGAAGATGGCGACGCGACAGCTGGGCCTTGTTGTGTCCCGTGGGTAGAGAAACAGAGAGGGCCAACCAGTCCCGTGTTTTCCCAGTGCTCCCTCCAGGCCTGGCTGAAGTTCCATCCTGAGAGGCTTATTACTTTCTGTCAGTGACTTAGCAGCACTCAACAGAATCTTCCAGGGAACGACTGCAAAGCCCTTGTGGAAAGCACCCCAGCTGGGTGGGTGGCACCTTTGTGAATGCTGGCAGGGAGCCCATCTGCATTTCCATCCTCTCCGGAGGACCACATTCATTACCCTGGAGAAATCCCCTTCTCCGAAGGCCCAGGGTTCTGAGTTACCGAGGTCTCTGCCTGATCCTGCCAGTGGTGGTGCACAATTTTAGTTCCATCACTGGGAGGCAGGAAGTGGATCTCTGTGAGTTCCAGGCTAGCCTGATCTACACGGATACACAGGAAGACCTTGTCTCAGAGAGAGATAAACGATGATGAGCAATCTAAGTTTTTTCTTTCTTTTTTTGTTTTTGTTTATCGAGACAGGGTTGGGGGTTTTTTTGTTTTGTTTTTTTTGTTGTTTGTTTTTTGTTTTAAGAAAACAGTATCAGGCTTGAATTTTCCATGGGTACTGATTTGTGTGCCTGCCTGTACTGTTTGACTTGGGTGTTTGTAGTTCAGTGTGACTGTCGTATGGAGTCTCGGGTCTTCATGAAATCCACTTCGATACCTATCCAGTAATTATCCATCTCTGTCCTGTCAGAAGTGAGTCTTAAAATCAAATTAGCCTTTTCTCTTTTGTTTTACTATGACCTCTTTTTCCTTAGTGTCTCACACTGTAGCTAGGCTAGCCTTGACATTCAGACAGTCCTCCTGCCTCTGCGTGCTGGGATTATATACATCATGCCTAGCTCATCTGTTTTTATTTTAACAAAATAGGATGTTATATTTAGAAGTCTGGGTATACTATTAAGATTTGAGAGTAGTGAGGTAGTTGTTTTAATCAATGAACATAGTTGTAATTGCTAAATCTGCCAAAAAGAACTTTAATGCCAAGAGGTTATATAATAAAATTATTGTAAATTTCAAGGCGATCAAGGAAACCGTTTCTGAATGCACGAACTACATTCACCCCGTGGGTGATACCACATGCCTCTTGTACTACAGAGATGTGTATCTCACTGGGCTCAGGATACAGCAGAACTTCTTTCAGTAGCGATGGTCTAAGGAGAGTCCCACGTCTTCATTATTGCTATTGGAGGGATGCTGTTTGGGAAGTGATGTCATTCCGAAAGGAACCTTGACAGCCAGTGTGGCTTTGGAATTAAGTAGGCCTAGGTTCAAGTCCCAGTCCTACCACTCACCAACCCCTGAGCCTTGCCACCTGTAAAGGAAGGACTGTGGGCAGTCAGTAGAATGGCTGTAAAGCCCACAGCAGGACCCCTGGCGATGCTGACATCACTGGTGAATACAATTATTGTCCTGATTGCTTTCCAGTGCCACCTGGCGACACTGGGGAGGTGACCGGCTCTCTTCCCCCTTGCAGGACCCAGAGAGCTGGGGACCTCCAACAGTTTCAGTGTCCTACTCTTCTGTGTTGTTATGTTGAGCGATCACTCCTACGTCAGTTTTCAGCTCGGAAGGCTTTCTAGTCAGATTAGATGGTTTTTCTTACCTGCCACAGGCTGCTGAGCTCTGAGCTGAGGCTCTAATGGAGCTCTGTCAGCCTGATTAGTGACCCACGGAGGAGTTTTTCTCAAGTGTCTCAGTTATTCAGGCTTTGTTTCCATTGAAGTCGTAGGTTGGTGTTTCTTCATGGCTTTTACTGTTTTTCAGTGAATGTGTCCGTCTGAAACCCACTGACATACAGCCTGACATATTCAGCTATCTGCTCCACCTGATGTACACCGGGAAGATGGCCCCGCAGCTGATCGACCCTGTGCGGCTGGAGCAAGGGATCAAATTCTTGCATGCGTACCCCCTCATCCAGGAAGCCAGCCTGGCCAGCCAAGGCACCTTTTCCCATCCGGAGCAAGTCTTCCCGCTGGCCTCGTCACTGTATGGCATTCAAATCGCAGACCACCAGCTGAGACAAGCCACCAAGATGAACTTAGTGCCTGAGAAGCTTGGGCGGGAGCCTAGGCCCCAGGCATCCAGGATGAGCCAGGAACCCGTGCCCGAGACCTCACAGCTGTCCCAGCTGACAGCAAACCTGGCTCAGGTAAATCGGACAAACATGACTCCCGCCGAACCCATGCAGACCTCGTTGTCACCCGAACTTGTCTCCACACCCGTTCCTCCCCCTCCTCCTGGGGAGGAGACCAACTTGGAGGCCTCTTCCTCAGACGAGCAGCCTTCTTCCCTCACGATCGCCCACGTGAAGCCAAGCATCATGAAGAGAAACGGAAGCTTCCCCAAGTACTATGCCTGCCACCTGTGCGGCCGGCGCTTCACGCTGCGCAGTAGCCTGCGAGAGCACCTGCAGATCCACACCGGGGTGCCCTTCACAGCCGGCCCTCCCGGGGAAGGCCGCGGGCCCCTGTCCCTCTGCAGCAATGCGGCCGACCTGGGCAAGGATGCCCTGGAAGTGCCTGAGGCGGGGATGATCAGCGACAGCGAGCTGCAGCACATCTCCGACTCCCCCATCATCGATGGGCAGCAGCAGTCTGAGACGCCCCCGCCCTCAGACATCGCGGACATTGACAACCTGGAGCAGGCCGACCAGGAGCGCGAGGTGAAGAGGCGCAAGTACGAGTGCACCATCTGCGGCCGCAAGTTCATCCAGAAAAGCCACTGGCGTGAGCACATGTACATTCACACGGGCAAACCCTTCAAGTGCAGCACCTGTGACAAGAGCTTCTGCAGGGCCAATCAGGCCGCGCGCCATGTATGCCTCAACCAGAGCATCGACACCTACACCATGGTGGACAAGCAGACGCTGGAGCTCTGCACCTTCGAGGAAGGCAGCCAGATGGACAACATGCTGGTGCAGGCCAATAAGCCCTACAAGTGCAACCTCTGCGACAAGACATTCTCCACCCCCAATGAGGTGGTCAAACACTCCTGCCAGAACCAGAACTCAGACGTGTTTGCCCTGGACGAGGGCCGGTCGGTCCTCCTGGGCAGTGGGGACTCGGAAGTAACTGACTCTGACCATCCTGTGTTAGCATCCATCAAAAAGGAACAGGAAACTGTGTTACTAGACTGAATGTTATTTGTCTTTTTAAAAACTGTCATTTTTACAAAGAATCTTCTCCCCACCCCCGCCCCCACCCGGGACAGTTTCTCTATGGCATGATACAAACGGGCCCCACTCCTTTCCTGTCCCTTCTCCCAGCTCCATCCCCGATAAGGCTTTGTGCATTAGAAACCTGGACTCTATTTACTTTAATTCAGGGGATATTGGAAGGATAATGGTCAGTAGTACTTATAAAGAAATAGGTTTTGAGAAGTTTTAGATTATTTTAAAAACCTACTTGGAAATAATTAAGAGTATATAATAAAATAACTAGACAATAATTTGGTAAGCTAAAATTATGACTGTCCCTGGGTAATAAGTCTTCCTTCTCAAAGAAACAAAGTCAGAAAATACAGCATGCTTCTTAGAGATAAAGCTGGGCTCTGCTATGCAAATCTAGAAGGTGTGGGGAAACTTGAAACCCAAGAAAATGTTTTTAATGTTTGCCCTCTAGGTGTCTGATTTCAGAATGTGTTCTTTGAGATTATGTCCAGTTAAGGGAAATCACTAGAAACCGACTTGAACAATGCAGGAGTAATAATGTGATGGCAATCTTCATTTCTGGATGAAACCTGACGGGCTGCGAGTCTGTGTGTGAGTGAACAGCACCTGGATGCTTGCTCCAGACAGAACTGGGGCACAGGCCTCATCCAATGCTGGCCTCTCTCCAAGATGGACAGGAACATGCTGGGTTCGGGTTTCTGACAAGCTGGTGATGCCATAGCCGGTCCTCCCGAACAGCAAATGCCATGCCGCTTCCCAGCAGTCACAAGCTGCGAGCTTGCGCCGGCGCCAGCCAGCCAGCCACCTGTAAAATCAGTGTGTGCGCTGCAAGGCCGTGGAAAGATGCATCTTAACGGGAAGGGTGACTGTGATGGGTGTAAAAGGTGGTGCTGCCTGGCTTGGTGGTGCCCATCCAGAACCCCAGCATGGGGGGACGGGTGGGGAGTGCAGGCAGGAGAATTGGGGGTTCGAGGCCAGCCTGGGCTACATAGAGAGACCTTGTTTTTTGTTTTTTTGTTTTTAAATGCAATGCCCATAGTTCACTGGTGACATCTACCAAAGCCTCAAAAATGACAAAGAAATCAGGATGTGAAAATAATAATAATCTAATTTCTTCTTGGAGGAAAAAGAAACAAATTGATTTTGATGTGTATCCTCCAATTTGTGTTAACACCAGAAATTTTCCCCACTGGCCTAACAGCATTAAAAGTTGTCCATTAATCTTCCCTTGGGCCAATAATAAAATGGTCTCATAGGATGCAACAGGAGCCAGAAGCGAGGACTAAGGGGTGAGGGGTGGGGATAGTGCGTAGCTATACCGTCCGTGTATGTTAGAAACTGAATATCCCATCATCCTCTTATATGTATAGTTGAGTTCTCAGATTTGTAAGTTTTTATACATCCTTTCATTGAATAAACATTTAATTAAATGGGCATGTGATTTTTCTCTTGTGTATTTGTCTACCCAAAGAACACAGAAGAGGTGTGTGGAAGCCTTGCATCAAGAGTGTTCTAGCTGATGTCTGCCTGTCAGACAGACCTTGGGCAGTTTCCCGACAGGGTGCCGCTGTTCGCATCAGTAAAGTGGAGAGGTTTATAATTACACTGGGTCATGCAGCTATGAGACTCCCCTGAGCTCCAGAAGATGATAGAGCCGGCTAAGAGGTTTATAATTAGACTGGGTCATGCAGCTATGAGACTCCCCTGAGCTCAAGAAGACGATAGAGCCGGCTAAGAGGTTTATAATTAGACTGGGTCATGCAGCTATGAGACTCGAGCTCTAAGGCTAACAGTGTGTGGAGCTGTCATCCAACCAGCTGTCTTGAACAGATCAGGAGGTACTGCCTAACAATAACTCAAAACACCAGCCGAACCTAGATTCTCAGACACTGAGGAATCGATCCATTTCATCCTTGTAGTTATGTTTGGATCTCTATGGCTGTTTTGTTAAACAGCCTCGGGAGGGGTCTCGAGTTGAAAAGCTGTGCCGTGCTGTGCTCTAGAATGTTCATACCTTACCCGGTACCTGGCTCTTCCGGCTCGTCCATGCTACTCCTTGTCACAGATTATATTGAACTAAATTACTTGTCACAGATTATATTGAACTAAATTACTTGTCACAGATTATATTGAACTAAATTACTTGCTGTCCAACTTCCCACTGCTCACCCCCGAAAGGATCTAAACTTCAGTCAGAAACTTTGCTCTGTTTGGGGCATTTCTCTACACCAGTGGTTCTCAACCTTCCTAATGTTGCGACCTTTAATACAGTTCCTCATGTATGGTGACCCCAACCATAAAATTATTTTCTTTGCTACTTCCTAACTGTAATTTTGCTACTTTGGTTTTTTGGGTTTGTTTTTTTTGAGAGGGTTTCTCTCTGTGTGTAGCCCTGAGTGTCCTGGAACTCACTCTGTAGACCAGGCAAGTTTGCTACTGCTATGAATCATAATGAAAATATTTTTTGGAGCTAGAGGTTTACTAAATGGGTTATGACCCACAGGTTGAGAACCGCTGCTCTAAAGGCTCCTCTTCTGGGCTTTCCCCCATCACCCTATTCATCTCTTATTCTTTAAGCTATCTCTCTTAATGAGGCTTCTCTTTGGGTTTTATAGAGGATTCTTTCCTTTAAGGGCCCTTTCATGATGTCTCCGATATGAGGGACTGTCTTTTTTTTTTTTTTTTTTTTTTTTTTCAAAC